CAAGCCTAATCTTGCATTATCTTGCTCTGCTATTCTAAGATGTGGTAGTGACCTTGCCCCATTTATTAAACTATACAAGTGTATCTTAGTTAAATGGCAGTGAGTCAAGACATTCACAGAAAAGAAACAATTAACGTAACGCAGCACATGCCATCCTGAATAATAACTCCTTTTTTTGTTGTTTTTTTCCTGAGACAGAGTCTCACTATGTTGCCTTAGGTAGAATGCCGTGGTGTCACAGCATACAGCAACCTCCAGCTCTTGGGCTTAAGCGATTCTCTTGCCTCCGCCTCCCAAGTAGCTGGGACTATAGGTGCCTGCCACAATGCCCGGCTATTTTGTTGTTATAATTGTCACTGTTTAGCAGGCTTGGGCCAGGTTCAAACCTGCCAGCCCTGGTGTATGTGGCCAGCACCCTAACTACTGCACTACAAGCACCAAGCCTGTATGATAACTCTTTATCTTAACTCAGTCATTTACCAAACTCTTGACCACTACACAGATCCATGTGAGTAGTAATTAGCTGAATGTGTCATTAGTTGCTTTTAACATGCTTGACCTAATTAAATCTTTTCAGATGTAGAGTTCTTTTTTTAAACTCATTTGCATGAAAATTTTAACACATTGTCTAAAAAATGAAATACATTATTCCGTGTTAGAAAGTGGATGTTTAGCCCAAGCTTTAAAAGTGGAGATATTCCTTTATAGAGAAACTACCATGTGCTGGAGACTCTATCAGATTGGATACAAACATATACAATTCTTACTCATTCTATTTTTATCATAATCTCAGAAGAGAACTATCATTCCCATTTTACAGATGAGAAAACTAAGATGCAGAGAAATCATTAATGTCTTATAGTTTGTAATAGAATCAGGATTCAGATGCAGGTCTCTATAATAACAAAGATCATGGGCTTTCGAGTCTCCCACTTGTTCTCAATCTTTAACGTACATCAGAAGCATCTAGAGGTCTTGTTAAAAGATATTTCAGGGCCCATCACAGAGTTTCTGATGCAGTAAGTCTAGGGTAGGACCTGAGAATTTGCATTTCTAGCAAGTGCGCCCAGGTGACGCTGAGGACACTGACCTGTGTTCTATACTTTGAGAACTACTGTGCTATACTATTCTGAGAACCTGTCTTTACTCTCTAAGAATCAGCTAAATCTTTGTCCTGTAGCTTACATATATGCTGGTGTACAGGTTATTTTTGACCCATAAATATACAT